GGTGGCACTTGCTGATGTGGTGGGGGTACTGAAATGTGCTGTGGCGGTGCATGGTGGTACCGTGGCTGTGGTACTGGGTCGTACCGCGGCTGTGGTGCCGGGTGGTACTGTGGAGGAACAGGCTCCTGTGGGGGTGGCTCGGGATCAGCCTGTTGTAGCAGGGGCTCAACCTGCGATAGTGGAGGAGGTCCGGGTAACTCCCTTCTCTCATTTCGCCTCTGTTGGGCAGCTACGAGAGCTTCCACCATCTCAAATAGTCTGTCTAAATCCTCCCGAAGCGAATTATCTTGGGACGCTCGGTTTAGTGGGGGCCTTCCTCTCCTCATTTTCGTGTACCTACATTCACAAAGAATGATTGAGTAACGATCTATCGGTGAGTATTTCTCTAAGGTACTATTGTGTAAGGGATGGGTCCGAGGAAATGCGGCTCTGATACCAACTGTAACGGCCCTGGAAATTTGAAATGAAACATGTGTATTAAAAAGGTCAAATGCGGAAGTAAAATAAAAATTTTGATTAAACATCCCTTACACTAAAACCAAAAACGTGCTCAAAGTATAAAACAACAAACTAACTAAAAGAAAAACTCGAAAATAAAAGCTATAAATATGACTACGGAGTCTTCAGGCGTCCCCTTCGCCGCCTTCCTGCGGAACGGGCTCGGGAACAATGTCTTCCTGATCTGAAATGATTAAATAAGGAATGAGCTACACCAGCCCAGTAAAGACATCACACTATCTCACCGTCACGGAGGTAAAGGTGGGTAGAAAACACAAAAGACCAATGGAGCATAGTTTACAACAAATTCTTTTATCAATAATAAAATTCTTGCTATCCACTTACCTCGGTGAAATTCATAAAACAATATACGAAAGCAATAATATTATTATCATCATGAAGTCATATGAGCTGTATAACATAATACTTATCACGCCTTTTGTAATTCAATCATTACACAACATATTTTTCCTCATTTACCAGCCTACTAGTATCCATGGGGATCCATAGGGGTCCCACTACCCGTGAACCCTTAACACTTGTAATCAGATTTCAGGGTCGTCCCCATACCCAGTCCGGTATGGGCGCCAAAACTATAAACCTCAATACCCTGTCCGGTATGAGGGTGAAACGGGCCGTCCCCATACCCCGTCCGGTATGGACGCCAAAACACATAAGGTCTCCATACCCCGTCCGGTATGAGAGACCACAATCCCGGTAGAGTTCCCTACGAACCCGGTCCGTCCACCATCTCCCAAGATATCTAGTCAGGCTGACCACATTATGCAATTATTAATTTATATAACTTTTCATTCCCCTTTTCCCCAGTCAGCATCATCAATTCACACACAAACAAGCAAACCAGTAATTTATGCCAAACAAGACAACATACAACATCGGGTTCTCAGTCATTCAACCCATAATCAATAAAATAGTAAAATGTGCACACGAAACTATGAAATGAAAACACCAGACCTCATACTGCATTTAAAACCGTAAAATAGGCCAAACAATAGCTAACCGACAAACACACCAGACTCAGGCTCCATTAGTGACCTTAAATAATTTCACACATCTGTTGATTCATGAAATACCGTTTTATCATTTATTGAACTTTAATACCATGATAGGAAATAGGGTGAGGGGTCCTTACTTGTTTTGGGGTCCGAATACGGCTCTACAGTGCGCCTACAGGCTGTCCCTAATTTTTCCTGAATTTTTTTTTTCGGGGAACTGAAACGCACTATTGGTACCTGCACGTGTCCCCAAAAATTCCAAATTAAACCCAGGGCCCCTTTCGGCCAATATTGCAATTCCGGCACTGCGGCTCTGCAAGCGGCGGCGATTCACCTCAGGTTGGCCGTTTTCGGCCGTTTCTGGCTGAATTCGGCCACACTCGCATCGGTCCCTGCGATAAAACAACCCTAGGCCCCTCGGGGGGCCAAAAAATTACGAAAAACCGAAGCTTACCGGCGGCGGTGCTCTCGGGTGCGGCAGCTCTCCGACGAGGTTCGTGTTTTGGTGATTTGGCTCTGATCAACCTGTAGAGAAAGGAATGGTGATCACGGTGATATAAAAATTGTATCAAACGGAGGCCGGGAATGGCCTCATTGGAGGCAAAAACTGAGGAGGGGCACAGCGGCACCGCTGGGTTTCGGCCGTTTGGCTAGGATTTTGGCTCCGATTTGGTCACAGGAGAACTCAGCATTGAAAAACGAGCCGGGGGTATGAAATTTACCTCGATCGGCGGTCGAAAAATTCCCCGGTGTGGCGGCGGGTGGCGGCAGCCGGCTCCTCCAGCGTCTGGTTCGTCTTCTCCGGCGAGGGCAGGCGGCTAGGGTTTTTATGGTCAGGTGTGGGGGTTCTATTTATACCATTTTGCCTTTTGATCGCAGCCATCCATTTTGATTAAATCTGGGCCGTCCGTGCGCGATTGAATCTGGGCCGTCCGTGCGCGTGCATCTAGGCCGTCCGTGCGCTTGCATCTGAGCCGTCCGTGCGCACGCTTAATCTGGGCCGTCCGTGCGCGCGGGAACGCATTTGGGCCATCCGATCGCGCGCACGCGGATCGCCCACGTGGCCCGTTCCCGAGTCGACGTGGTCTTGCCATGCGGCAGGTTCTGGTTGGCCAGGGCTGCTGACTGGGCCGCTGACGTGGCTGCTGACGTGGCGCTGACGGGGCACAATTTTTCTAAATTGCGTTTTGACCCCCGATTTCCGATTTTTTTTTTCAAAAATACTCCCAGAATCCTAATTTTCACCCCTTTTTTCCAAAATCAATTTTAATTAAATCTAAATAATATTTTTACCCAATTTTATCATTATTATTTTTTTTATTCTTATTAAATTAAATTAAATTAAATAAATCAATTAAAATAATAAAATTATAAAATAAACTAAATAAAATTATTATTATTATTAATAAAAATTAAAAAATTAGTGGACGTTACAACAGGTGTCCAGTTATAAGAGTCCATTGTCTACTCTAATTTATGCATTAAAATTAATATTTTCTTTAAAATTATTAACATATACGCACAAAATAACTTGTCGTAAAAATAATTATAATTAATAATATTTTTATTAAATTTATTATAAAAAAATAAATATTTACGTTTACGATCAACATTTTTATATGAACTCACAATTACTTATTCTTTGAATAAAAATTTAAATGTTTTAAATCATTTTTTAACAATTTTAAACTCGTAGATTAGTTACACATGATTCTAAATATATTATATATAACTACATAAATATTTAATTCAATAAAATCTATGAAGTAATAAGGGGAATTTAGGATGAATTTTGCTAAAATTGGATTTATTGGATACACAATACACTAACTGAAAATTGTTTTGAATCTATAGTGAATTTCTATTAAAAAATATATATAATTTTGTTCTTATCATGTAGGTTTTCAGTAAAACCTATGCCCATCTGTCTCGTTGAATATTAAAAATTTATTTCTATTATTTCTCCACATATTTACTAGACCATTAACAAAAAAAAAAGAGAAAGAGCTTTACTCGGAAAAAAAAAAAATTCACATTTTAAATAGAAGAAAGAAAAAGACATTGTTTGAAACTTAGTAACATGGTGGTAGGTAGTGAAGATTTTGAGTGGTAAAGGTGTAAAGGCCCAAAAACTAGAAAAATAGAGATATCGAATTATATCAACCATAAGCGGAAGTAATTTAGAATTTAAGGTTTATATTTATTATACAGTAAATCATGACACCCAATAGGGCTACGACAATATTCATTTATAAAAGTTCAAAAATAATATAATAAATAATTGAAATAAAATCCTATAAGGTTAACTTCTGCTGGTTAACTCTAATGGGATTCGAGAGGTAACTTTTATTTGCAACCCTCCTGCTATTCGAGATCTAGATTTTGATCATCCTTATATAAAATGATTAAATAAGGGGAATAAGTTATATCAGTCCAATAAAAATATCACACTTAACACCGATATGGAAAACTAAATGTTAGTAAAAAAAATCGTCAAACAACCAATGGAACTCTTATTTCTTTTTCAATAAATTCATTTAACTTAAAATGTGTTATTTCATACTTATCCTTATGAGTTTCCAAAACTGACATCTAAAGACAATAACCCGAATAGTATTTTGATTGTATATTCAAATGAGCAATAATAAGAAGCTTACCTATTTATCAATACCTTTGAAGATCCATAGTCATATTCTTCTACGCGTGAACCCAATATCTAATTTTTTGATTAACCGGGTTGTCCCCATACTTCATCCGATAATGGACATTAATATATCACCGCCTCATATCTCGTCCGATATGAGGGTAACTATACCTCCAACTCTTCCGGTATAGATTTTCAGCCCGTTCGATTGAGATATGTTCACAGTAGATTTTTCTCTATGTACC